TGTCTGTCATTGTAGCTGGGATAATTTTACTTATTAAAGCTCATAATCTTACAACTTGAAACATCACTAGCCCTGAAGCTGCTGGTAGACATCGCAGTTGGAATTATCAAAGGTTTTTGACACTTGAGAGACACCGTAGCAACTCCTTCGCGTTTGGAAACGGGGAGTGGGGGTGGGGGGAGGACCAGGGAGGATGATGACTCAACCACTAGATGTTGCTGAAAACAACAAATTCTACACACTGTGCCTTTAAGCAACAGTCTAAAAACATTTAGTGCTACAAATACACACAAACAAAATAATACATAAAAGTCACAAATTATCCTTATAAAAACATAACAACATAAGCAATAAAAGTGTTACCTTTTAGATCATATACAGTATATAGATTATTTGAGGGTTGTTTTCCATCAGTCCAAGATTGGCAGAATCCATAATGCAACAGTCGTTCATTTAATTAAATAGCTGCAGTGTTTTATGGAAAAGTTATGAACATTTAATATCCTAATTGTTTCAGGTTCTGCTGGCTTTAATTCCCAACAAAATAATGTGGTGACAGTTGATCTACCATTCTATGGGTTCAGTGCTATAATATATGCCAGTGGTTCAGACTAACTGTTATTGCATCAATCCGGTCAGAATTAAACTCAAGGCTTAAGCCAAAACCTCTGACATTTCTTTTTAATAGACCAAGGAGGAGGATAAACCTCTAATACACCTTTGTGAGGGAAGATTGATGATGACGRGCATCAAATTTGAATGTAGTTCACAAACTGGTTGGCCACAAAGACATTTAGCTGTCCTGTTTCGAAAGCAATACAGGTCAGACTTCGGACACACATGTAATGCGTTGTGCTCTGAGTTTTGCTCTTTTGGTTCTGCTGTGCTCGCTTCATCTCTGAAAGCTCACAGCGATGCGGGACATGGTGAACTATTTTTTGTGAAACAAGCTTTTTGTTTCTCCAAACTATCTACAACAYGTAAGATAATAACTGTTACTATTTTCCACAAAACCCAACCTAAAAAGAAAAACTTTTCAGGACCTATTGGAGCCAGCTGCTGCTCAGTGTTTATTTATCCCCGCACAAAGCGGCACATTTGTTCTAATTGTTGGGGTATTATTATTATTATTATTATTAGGCCAGCATGAGGATCACACGAGACCTTTAGGGGGATGGGCAGAGTTTTCAGGGGTTGGTATGGCTTTAAGAGTTTACTACCAACACCACAGCTCTCATGCAGTGCAGAAAGTTGCGAGGGCAGGCGGCGTGATGCGGTGGGATACCGTCCGATAGGAAGTGACGGTGCTGCGTGAATTCCAGCAGAGGTATCAACACAAACGAGGAGCAGCAGCACGGGACTCTGCTGGTAGAGTGTTTTTGTGAGCCGAAGTGCGCAACAACAGCAGCTGCACCGGAGCGGAGCGCGAGACGTTTTTCTTTTTTTTCAATGGAAGGTTACCAGAAGTAAAAAAAAAGAAAAAAAAAATTGTAGCGGCTTGATATCCATGACTTGTATTCGCAGTTCTGGGCACACACATGGAGCAGGAGTGACCTGTAAACCCTCCCCCGCTGCTTTGAAAATGACGGGAAAAAACTCAAAAACGAAACAAACGCCAGCAAAGAGCTAAAGTTTCGCGACTCGGATATGAACTTGCGTTCCTGGATTCTGTCGCGTTCAGTTTTGCGTCTTCGGGGATGTTTGCGGCTCGGGTTCGGACTCTGGCCCGTTTCGCTGCCCTGCTGCTGGTGCTGCTGGTCGCCGTGGGACTCGGGTCGGAGCTGAGGGTTCGGGTCCGGCTCTCGGACGGGCTGGTGACCGAGGAGGTGTTGGAGGCGGACAGCGACAGGGACTCGATATCGCTCGAGTTCAAGCAGGGAGACGGGACCCTCATCACCTTCGTGGCGGACTTTAAACAGGTGAGAGGTGGTTCTGCTGTCTTGTTTCTGTGAAACTTCTCTCGTTAAGACTAAACTAAGCTCAGGTTTGGGTTCTGAAAGTTTGCTTTCCCTCAACTAGAACTTTCTGACACATAAAAATCGACTTTATGGTTCCTAAATTATACCCTGGAAGTCTCCTGGAGGTCTCCTATAAGCTGGGTCTTTAAGTACTATATTAAAAGTTTAATTATGTCTAAAGAGTGCCTCGTGGCTGTTATTAAAGTTAGTCCACATGTTTTTCCAAACTAATTAAAGACCCCTGCTTTTACTTTGGAAAACTCATTTAATTTAGCTCCTATTGGAATTTCTCCTCATTACCCCATTGGGACTAAATCTGATTAAACGTTCTTAATAAGAGACTTTGACCTATACCTTGGCATCTTTCCACATTTCCTGTTGTGATTGTTTTTTTTTTTTCATGAGATCAGCCTCAAATCTCCACAGGCTGAAATCAATCAAGATTTCAAGCACCATCATCTTTCCCCCTCCTCCTCAAAGTGTTTCAAAGGAATCACCCCCCTTCAGCAACCCCTTCCTGTAAATCACTTATAAGCTTGTAGACACTTTTCATTCATCTTTCTCCCTCAAAGCTTGATTCACAGAGACCCAAGACATCTGTTGCTCCTTTAGATGTGGACGCCCCCACAAACCCCTGCAGCTGATGGGTCCAGTCCAGAGGGGATCACAAGTGGCTGCATTTAGCGTTCCTCTAAAAGAAGACCATCTGATCAAGGGTCCTGCCTTGGTCCAGCGCTGCAGCCGTGATTGTTTCGGAGATATGGGGGGAACYTTTTTGACAACCCAGAGATGCYTAAAAAGAAAAAKCRRCCC